GCCCGGGCATCGGCCCCTGGCCGCCCCTGCACCCTGCCCAGGAGGCCCTGTCCATCCCGGCTCCTGGTGCCACCGCAGTGTATCCCCGAGGTGGCCTCTGGGCCCCGCGTGGACGTCCTCCCAGGGGCTTGAGGACTGGCCGGAGCCTCAGTGCCCGTCCCCGTGGCCAGAGCATTGGAGTCAGAACAAAAGCGAGAGCCGGGGGCCGAAGCTTCCCCTTGAGTCTGGGTTTCCCCGTGTGCGAGGCAGGGGTAGGATTGGGGTGCCCGCGCCGGGGTCAGCACTGACCGTGTCCTGCTCGCCTCCTGCATGCCACCCCTCGGCCGCGGCCACTGACCCTCTCGCGTGGTGACGGGCTGTGTCCATTAACCTCGGATCCTTCCTCCTTTGACCTCTGACCCGTGGTCTTGCCTCTTGTTCCGCGCCCTCCTTAGCCCCTGAAGCTCATGAACCAGGTATGTGCCGTGACTTCAGTCCCGTGTGGGTGCGTGTGCACACGTGGCCATGTGTGGGTGGAGCAGGAGCCTGGCTCCGAAGGAACAAGAGGCCGTGTAACCTACTCACAGCGTGTTCTGACCCCTGCCCTGCCTGTCCCTGCCCCCGCCTGCCTCTGCCCCCAGTCACAGCCGTTCTCTCCCCTCTCTCCCCACATGCGCTGCGTCCGTCCGTCCGTCCACAGAGGAGGTCCAGGAAGGTATGCTGTCCCTGTCCCAGGCCGAGCCGCCCCCTGCTCCCTGCTCCCTCCTCCCTCCCTCGTTGCCTGCCTGTGTGACTCTCGCCCCATTCCTCTGGGCTGGGACCCAGTGGGGACAGGTTAGGCCTGGCGTGCTGGCTCAGGTGGGGCTCATGCTGGGGTGCAGCCTTCCTCTTGCCCCCATCCCAGCAGGGAGCATACAGGGGTGTGGTGAGGCCCTTCCCAGGCCGCCAGCAGGAAGTTGGGGGTGGCCCTTCTGGAGGCCAAGCCTAGGGTAGGGTCTTTGGATGCTGGTGCTGGGGTCCACCTAGACCCTCGGGATCCTCCAGGGTCGGGTGGAGAAGAGCAAGGGGGAGAGCAGGGCGGGCGGCCTACACCCTGCCCCAGACAGCAAACCGAAGAGGGGACGTGAGGCGGGGGGCGGGGAGGGAGGGCGTGAGGCGTGTGGGGGGGCGAGTGAGTGAAGCCGCACGTGGGGCTGAAGCCCGAGTGGGCACAGCAGCACCAGAGCAGCCGGGCCTTCGCATGCAAAGAGGCAGCGTGAGTTCCCAGGGACCCACCGTCGCCGGCGTCAGAGCCTGATGTGCCCGGGTGTGAGGAGCCCCCCGGGGTGAGGGTTCCAGCCAGGGGCCCAGGTGGCCTTCTCCTCAGCTCCCTCACTCACACGACGCCTCGGTGAACCCCAAGCATGACCCCCAAACTGTCTTCCCTTCCCTGGACTCAGAGAGGCCCCGTGAGACAAAGGGACCTGCGTGGTGGGAGAGCAGGCAGAGGTGCCAGGGACCAGGCTTGTAGGGGCTGCGGGTCCCCGGAACCAGCCCCGCCGCAGACAGACAGAGACGACAGGCAGGGGACGGGACGCCAGGGCCCTGCTGCCCACTGCCCGGGGCTCTGCAGCATGGCCACTGCCCCCCAGCTCTTGGCCTGGCCTGGCCCTCGCAGACTCCGGCCCTGCCAGCCGCTCCCCCAGCCGGGCCCCCACAGATGCCCAGCCCCTCAGCAGCCCTCCTTCTGCCCCTCGACCAGCTTCCGGCTTGCAAAGCGCACCCACCGCTGGCTCAGGCTCATGGCTCACCGGCTCCAGGCGCTGGGTGAGGGGGACGCTGGGCCCCCTGCAAAGGGCTGTCTGCTGCTTCCTAAGCAACCATGGCGGCCCCTGAGCTGGGGGCGCGAGAGGGGCAACCTGCCGAGGGCACCCCAGGCTGGACCCCCACCCACTCCCAGGGGGCCTGCTGGCTGCAGCCAAGGGCAGAGGAAGGAGCTGGGGGTCAGAGCTGGCTTCTCACCAGGGCTGCCGGGCCAGCTGCAGACCCAGGCGGTGGCCAGGCCAGCCGGACCCTCCCCGGGCGGTGGGTGCGGAGGGTCAAAGGAAACAGCCCCATGCGAGGGCCACCCGGTGGGGCCGGCAGCTCAGGTCTGCAGGCCCCGGCACAGCGGAGGCAGAGAGAGGAGGAAGGAGAGGCCCCTCGGGCCAGGGGCAGGCTCCCTGGCGAGGCAGCACCCCCCCCCCCCCCGGGAGGGCAGGCCTGGGCTCCGTGGCCCCGGGCACGTGGTGGATGCTCCAGCTTGGTGGGTTTAGCCCTTGCACAGGCCCGCGCACCAGCAGGCTTCACTCACCTGATGGCTCTGGACCCAGCAAAACCTAGAAGCCGGGCCCCAGAGCCGCCCCCAGAACCAAGGGTACCGTGTGGGGAGGAGCTCAGCCTCCCACGGTGCCCCCAGCCAGCGGCCGGCACCACGGCCGCCCAGGGTCGCCTCTCACTTCAGGCCCAGTGGGGAGGGTGTCTCCCAGGCCACCTGGCCCGCAGCATGGCCACATCCGCTCCCACCCCCAGACAGCCTTCTCTGGCCCCAGCTGGAGGCACTATGGGGTCCAGGCGCTGCCCCGGGCCTGCCTCCTGTCCCTGCCCGTGTCCTCGCTCCGTCCCTGCCCGTGTCCTCGCTCCGTCCCTGCCCGTGTCCTCGCTCCGCCAACGCTCCGCAGCCTCGCTGGCTTCTCTCTTGCATGTGCGCTTTGCCCAGAAGACGCCGCGGAGGAGGAGCGGGAGGACGAGGAAGGTAAGGGCCTCGGTGCCGTGATGGCGCCCGCGAGAGGGGAGGACGCGCTTGCCCGCTGGCCGCCTGCGCTCCGCCTCGCCGGCTCTCCATCCCTCTCCCTCCAAGGACAGGCCGGGCTGGGGCCTCGCTGGCGGGCGCTGTCCCCTCGGAGCGTCTGCAGGCACAGGGGGGCGGGGAGGTGGTCGTGGGCCCCAGCCAGCAGGCAGGAGCTGGGGGCAAGGGGTGCTCTTTCCGCTCCCCTTTTCCCCGTGTCGCCCTCCCTTTCCTTCCTCATCCAGCCCCCATCCTTTCCTGCCTTTTTGGTCTTCCCTGCCCCCCCCCCCCTAGTGCTTCTTGCTTCTGCTTCTCCTTCTCCCTTTCACCCCTTCTCCCTCTTTGTGTCCTGGTCCCCCCTGCACTCCCCTCCCCAGAACCCACAGGGATTTCTTCAGACCCAGAGTCAGGACAAGCCCTCTCTTCTGGTGGTTGGTGGAGTGGGTGCTGGGCTCAGCTGCAGAGCAGGAGCCGGGGAACCCCAGGGGCCTGCAGGCAGGAGGGGAC